TTTGCTTTAAAAGGTGCTACCTCCTAGGTTCATCCTTTTTTCTTTTCTTTTTTTTTTTTTTTTTTTGGTGGCAGTGGTGGTAATGTTCATGATTGGTTACTGTATTTCACGTTTTTGCATGGATTTGTCTTGTGGACTGAATGTAATGCTCATTCCCCATGTACAGAAGGCAACTTTTTTATTTTGAGTTTTGATTTCTTAGCACTCACATCTGGCAAACAGGTCTAGTGAAATGTATTTGTGAATCAAAAAGAGATCTTGATAAAAGTAGTAGAAACCCCATCCCTGTGAGCCTGTCTAACTGGCATGGACAACACTTTGCCAATTACATTACAGATATCATTCAAATTTAGTCAGAGAATTACTATATTTGATTGTATATAATAATACCACTGTTTACATTCTGCATTACAGTATTATGGTGTTAGCCTAACTACAAGTACTTATAATCTATGATGTTTGGTAATGTTTTAGATTCTCAACTCACAACTTTAAATATATGCTTCAATAAAATAAAGCCGCAGAGTTAAGATGTAGGGAGGGACTAAAAATATTAATAATGGAAGTGTATCTTTTGTGGATATTGGGTAGATGTAAATAAGCAATATTGTAGTAAAGAATGTAGCTTGATGATAAAAGCTCAATGATGTCTACTGATTAGCTTTTGTAGCCTTTTTGGTGAGGACTGTTCATGTCAGACAGACTCCAAAAGATGTGAGCTATATTTTGAAGCCTTGTTGGAAGGATATTCTTTATTTTTAGTTAGTGTTGCTTGCAGTAGTAGCATATAAAAACAACCTGAGAGTTATGATTAAAAAAATGCCACCAAGGTAAGATGATGGGTGAGATTTGTCAAAAGATTAGTTTGTCTGTTTTTTTTTAATGCCAAATTAAAATTGAATTTAACTGCTGATGTATTCAGCTTCTTTATTATCTTCTACTTTGTGGCTATTCTTGATGCTCTATGCACAAACCACAGTTCCAAAAGTGAATACTGATGGCAAATCATTTATAATTGATAACATGTGGAACAAATTAATTCTTATTCTGATTTAAGGACTGGCAAGCTGGTCTTGCAGATCATTGAAACTAGATTCTATCCTAACAGAGTGCTTCATAAATGTAGTCTTTATCTTGGATTTAGCTTTCTTTTTTTTAAGTGTTCAACCAGTATATGGCCCAAGAGCCACTCAATGTAAATGAGGTTTCTTGTGGATATAAGGAGGAGGAGGAAGTATTAAGAAAATATAGGGGATAGATATTGGTTGACCATAGATTTGAACAGTAACGTCTTGTTAATTGAGAAGGCATCCTCTCAGGAGTCTGTTTCACAAAGTATCAGTTCTTGAGTGGAAGTTCCTTCTTACCAGAATGAAATATGAAGAGAAAGATGAAGATCTAACCCTGTGTATGCAGCATGGCTTGTCCTAGCTGTAAATGTCTGAACTGGTGGAACAAAGGAAAGTAGTTCATCTGAACATTTGCCATGGAAATAGTGATATAGTAAAAAGCTAATGATATTTGAGAAAAGTGCTGTACAGTTGAAAATAAGTAATCACTCATAAAGCCATATAAATGCTTTTGAACTTTGTCAAGGCTGGAAAGTGTAGATTGGATAGCTTCAGCATAGATATGGCATTTTTGTGATCTGATATGAATCTTGTAAAAGTTAAAACATGGTAGAAGTAGTCAGGCACATTGTAGAGCAAAACCAGAATCTTTTATGTAAAGATGGTCATCCATTGTAAAATGCTTATTAGCTGAATCAAGTATGAATATGAATACTATTAACTGAATAATTTAGAAATTGTAGTTATTAAATAATGAAACCAGTGTCACAGTAAATATATACAAGCCATGTTGTTTACATCAGCCAATGGGTAAATAGAAACAACTCCAGAAAGTTGAAACCATTTAAAAATCAAAAAATGAATCAATTTGAATTTTCAGGTGAACTTTAAAAAAAAAGGTTAATGAATCTTTTCATATGCAGAAGTTTATGGGAAAGAATGCATGTTATATGTACATGTGTTTGGATGATGCAGGAAATTTGATGAAGATTGAAGGGATGTCAAAGATGATGAATGTTGCAGTTGTTCAGATTTTCATGCAAAATTTGCTTAACAGTCTCTTTATTGATTTCTGCAATCATTTTGATGCTGAGTCATCAGTCACTTCAAAAGATTTCTTCTATTCTTTTAACATTGTCACTTGTCCTTGACATATATGGCTGTCTACAATGTTTATCATATTCAACATCCTAAAATATCTTCTGCAACTTAAATGCACATGTAGATGACAGGCATTTGTTCCTATACACTCCATTTAGCATACAAAAAGATTCAGTAGCTATTTTCTTCAATTTCACCAAAATTTTCAAATTGATTTATTGCTTGAATTTTCAGCTGACCATCTTTAGAAATATCAAGAAAACATGTCTGCTTCAACCAATACATTAACAAATACATTAAAAGATTGAAACATTCATGGGTTCTTTATGCTTGCCTATTTATTAATATATCTCATGGAGTTTGTGTATGCACACTGTGGTTACATAAGCTATCTTCTTCTATGTGCTGCATCCCATAGGCGATCATGGCTCTCCACAGCTTTCTCTCTTAGCAGTTTTTCTCCATTTGCTAATGCTCCACCCAATTCTGCCATCTATTTACCCAAGCTCTTCAGGTAAGTACATCAGTCTAGTCTGTTTATTTAATAATCATACTTTATATTCTATTTTGATGCTTTTAATATTTATTGATGGCCAGAAAACTTGTCTGTTATCTTTTGTCCCTTCCTGTTCCTACCATCACCAACTCTCTCATCAATGAATATATATGTAATTATATTTTGTCATTTATTATTTGATAGCATCTTTATTATTTTTCCTAGTTTATATTTTCCTTATTGTTTTGAATTTTCTTCACATCCCATGAACAATCAAATTTATAAATCTTTTCAAAAATCTATAGTTCTGATTAAATTCACATGTATGAATATTCTCAATATCATGTGTTTTAGGTTATTTTTATTTTTTTCTTATTGTTGAGATTAGTAACAAAATTTCAGTATTTGGTGCAAAGTACAGGATTATCATATTTTATAACAAGACATAAGAGTTCAAAGTGTTTTCATAGGTTTAGACTTTATTTAAAGACATGTTTAAATAGGTTTAGACTTTATTTAAATACATGTTTAAATAGGTTTAGACTTTATTTAAAGACATGTTATAATAAGTTTAGACTTTATTTAAAGACATGTTATAATAGGTTTACACTTTATTTAAAGACATGTTTTAATAGGTTTAAACTTTATTGAAAGACATGTTGTAATAGGTTTAAACTTTATTTAAAGACATGTTATAATAGGTTTACACTTTATTTAAATACATGTCTAAATAGGTTTAAACTTTATTTAAAAACGTTTTAATAGGTTTAAACTTTATTTAAAGACATGTAATCGGTTTAAACTTTATTTAAATACATGTTTAAATAGGTTTAGACTTTATTTAAAGACATGTTATAATAAGTTTACATTTTATTTAAAGACATGTTATAATAGGTTTACACTTTATTTAAAGACATGTTTTAATAGGTTTAAACTTTATTGAAAGACATGTTGTAATAGGTTTAAACTTTATTTAAATACATATTATAATAGGTTTAAACTTTATTTAAATACATGTTTAAATAGGTTTAGACTTTATTTAAAGACATGTTATAATAAGTTTAGACTTTATTTAAAGACATGTTATAATAGGTTTACACTTTATTTAAAGACATGTTTTAATAGGTTTAAACTTTATTGAAAGACATGTTGTAATAGGTTTAAACTTTATTTAAATACATGTTTAAATAGGTTTAAACTTTATTTAAAGACATGTTATAATAGGTTTACACTTTATTTAAATACATGTCTAAATAGGTTTAAACTTTATTTAAAAACGTTTTAATAGGTTTAAACTTTATTTAAAGACATGTAATCGGTTTAAACTTTATTTAAATACATGTTTTACTAGGTTTAAACTTTATTTAAACATATCTTCTAATAGTGTTACATTTTATTTAAACACGTCAGAAGAAAAGTGAAATATTTAAATACTGTTTTTCTTCATTTCATTAATTTTTTATTTTTATTAACAACTTTTTCTTTTACTTGTTTGCCATTTGATCATAATCTCATTCATCTTGAAATGTCATACTCTGTTCTACCAAATAAAAATAACATATTGAATAGGCAGGCCAATGGGAATTTTTCAACTTATAAAATAAAGAGGAAAAATTTTATTTTTGACACAAAATAATTGTAAACAAATAATAAGAATCAAATATAAATATCTTTGCTTACCAAAATAATAATAATAGCAAATAATCACTAAAAGATTGAAGAAAATAAGTCAGTCATGGTGGTACTTGTATTTAGTACACAAGTGAATACAGTAAATTTAGTATGTATTTTCGAGTAAATAACATAGTAATATGCACAAAAAATACTCTCAGGGCAGCATTGGTATAAAAATATTCTCAGAGCAGCTATTATTATAAAAATGAATGAATATCAAATATCAAGTATGAATGAAAAATTTTGATTTCAAGTAAATAAAGAGGGCTTGGAAAATTTGACACACACAGAACAGATTGAAAGCAAAGAGGACAGAGGAAAACAATGCCTACCTGCCTAGTGAAGTTGAGTAAATGGATGTTGGAACAGGGTTTAAGTGAATAAACACTACAAAGGGTAGAAAATTGTGGAGAGCCATGATCGCCAACATCCTAAAGGATGTTGGCAATCATGGCTTACCACAATAGCACATAGAAGAAGAGCTATAAATGTTGACAGAAAATGGCACCAAACATAAACCAATTTACAGGTTTACTTTTTTACACAGAATTACAGAAAACAAAATTTCAAATTTTACCTTGTAAGGTTTTATTTTTATGTTTGTAAAATTTACTTAAAATATTCCTTTCCCTTCAGCACCTTTTAGGCTTATGACTACATCACATTGAAATGCTGGTTCTCATAAGATCACCAAAGTTAAGCAACCTTGAGCCTAATCAGTATCTAGAGGAGTGACTGCTTGGGAATACCAGGTGCTGTAAGCTTGGATGTAAAGGGTGGTTTAATGGATAATGGCTCAGAATTGTTAGTTGGAGAGAGCTGGTTATCCACACAATTATCCTTGGGAAATCAATTAATCCACCTCTTCTCTGTCCAGCTATGAATTAATTAGTAAGACTTGTATCACTGAAACCTTATTGTCTGCAAGATTAAAATAAAATTACATACAAAATATTTAGATTCTGATATTAAATAACCCATAGAGGTTGATATGCCAATAAACAAAAGCAATCAATCAACCAACACCTTTTACTTATAAATCAGAAATATATCTCACAAGTTTCCTTTGAAATCACTTGAGAGAGCTTTAAGTAGAAATGGAGGCACCAATATTTATACTTATTGATTTTAATATTAAAAAAGTTATATATTTTCAATCTAATGAAAAGTAAAACTAATTACAGAAAATACAGTTGATATTTAAAATTTAATTTCACTTGTACCATTCTGTTAATAATTTTAAATGTTTGGCAACTAAGTATTTCTGTTCAAAATTACATTTTCATTGGTTAATAGCAGTAATTCTTATCCGTAACTTTCTTTACAGTGGAATTGAGAGTTTATTACAAAATATTTAATGATGAGAAATCTTAGCTGTTTAGATCAATTATTAACAAAATTAAATTACTTTAATTAATTTCTGATAATTTTCTTCTTCTGAAAAATTATGTAGATTTTAATAATTCTATTAATTGAAAATTGTAATGTTTTACAATTATGTTATTCTTTGCTTTTCTTTATTGTTACAGTTGCTGAATCTTGCCTAAGATGTTGCCGAGTGAACAGTACCAGCCCTTGTGAGAAGTATAGCTCCAAATTATTTCTCAATGATGGTCGCCCGTGTCTTCAAGGCTACTGTCAAAATGTAATGTTATAGCCACATTGATATATCTATAATAATAATTTAGATCTGAAAATTTTAAAATTGATCTACATTCCTTTGTTGATCTAAAAAGTTGTTTTTGTTAACAATCTCTAATATTATGCTGCCTGATTCTTAGCCCATAAGGAACATAATGATACCACATTGTTTAGAATCTCTCTCTCTCTCTGCAGATATGTATTCATATGTAGGTTTCTCTTGTCTCTTTTTTATGATGGCCCATAACATATAGTTATATAGTTATTGATGTTGATCCTGCCTAACAATAGACAGTAGCTGTTTGGTTGTCAAGCAAAACAGTGTCTGACATGAAAGTAAATATGAAGCAGTGAATATATATAATATTATATAACATTTTTTTCCCCATTAACAGACTGTTTTCTGCATTTCATTGCAATTTTCAAAATGCGTATATATTTCCCCTTGAGGCTTTCAAGTTCAGCAGTTTTTTTTATGTTTTTTATGTGTCATAAATAAGAAAATGAATATACAAATCATATACATATATATATATATATAGAGAGAGAGAGAGAGAGATAGATAGATAAATAAATACAAGGAAATTTTTGTTAAATTTAATTAACAAGATGTGTCTGTTTAATTTCTTATTGTATTTTTCCAATTTTAAAATAAGTTGTTTTTTTTAGATCTGTATCAAATTGTTTCATTCTGTTTTTTTCTCAAGCGTATTCAGTTGTTTCCCATCAGAATAAAATGCAAACTTTGATTCTGATGTAAAAAACTTTATTCAAAAATTCAAAAAATACAATAAAAAAACTAAACAGTCACTATTGATTTAGTTTAACAAAATTTGTTTCAAATGAATTCTTGCTGCCTAAATATACCTTATATATATATATATATATATATATATATATATATATATATATATATATATATATATAGAGAGAGAGAATTAATATAAGTAAAAGTTTTGTCACTTAGCTGATTGATCTTACATACAGCATCCTAACTCCAAAGTTTTGTAGACCTGTCTGTCCACTCATCAGTAGGTATCAACAATTTACTGCTTATACTTCTTAATTTTTCTTTTTTATATGCATTTATTATTGATGCAAGATTTTTTTCATAGAATGTGTGTGCATGTGTGCATTCACACATATTTGCCCATGTTCTAGCATGTGTGTACATGTAGGATATCATGATTATATATATGTGTATAAATATTCAGTTGCATGGATAATAGTTTGTAACCCTGGGTTTCACGCTTTTGCGGTCATCAGACAAACTGTTTTATTTTTTCAAAAGTGGATCTATTTATGCTTAATTGTGTTTGATTATTTGTGTGTAGTGCATGGGGGAATTTTCTCCTGTGTTTGTTTGGGATGATACTCTCACATACATAGTGATGTAATGGAATAACCTGTCACCCCCATGAGTGACTACACTATAGGTAGTAACTACTATAAGTATCTGTAAGTCAATGGACTACAGAGACTAGCTGGAATCTGTTTCAGCTAAACAGTCAAACTCTCTGCCTTCAGGCAAAGAGGAACCTGGACAAGGCTCTGCCAAAGGGCAGAGTCTTGTTTGGAGAGGAAGACTGCCCCTAAACCCGTTTATACAGCTTCAAAAGGGAATTTTTTTGGCCGAGCCTATGGGCTTGAAGAACCCACATTAAACCAGCCCTGTGCTAAATGCAATCCTCGTGGGTGGGTGGGTAGCTAAATATTCTAGCTGGAATCTGTTGAGTATGACTCAGACTTACGTAAGAACTACCGACCTTCCAATAGTAGCAATCACTACTAGATGGACCTGTGACAACCTTGTGCATAGCTGTTACCTTTATTCTTATTGTACTGGGTTTTACAATAAACCTTTACTTATTTTATCCACCTTGTTTTTCAAGTATATATTCCTATTAGCATGGAATATATCACAGACATATATATATATATATATATATATATATATATATATATATATTCTAAAGAATTAATGGATTTTTAATTTTTTAATCCAACATTATGCTTATTAATTCAGATGTTATTTTTAGAGGATACCTGTATTCGAGTAGATGCTTTGTTTATTTTTAAACAGAATTTTATTTTATCTACTGGTTTCTACATTAGAGAAAAATTTATTAAAGAAAGGAAACTTTTCTTTAATAATTCGCTTGAGCCTACAGGTCTCAAGGCAAAATAAAATACTTTTTAAAAAATTAACAGAGTGTCTACTCCAATATGAGTATCCACTAAAAATAATATTTGAAGTTATATAATGTCAAGATGACTCATTTATAACATGAAAGCATGACAATTCAAGTTTTATAACTAAACTGCCAAATTCCCTACACATGACTGATAAAGAGGAGTGCCATACTTTTTGGAAGAACTAATGATAGGAAACTGATACATACTGTGCCACAAAATCTCCAAACAGCCCTCTTCAGGTTTTTAATTCTAAGTTGTCCTCCAAGACAGATTAGCAAACAGGGCTAAAGACTACCCTGATTTTTAACCCATACTTGGAGGAAGAAGTGATGGATTTATACCTTTTCTAATGGTATTTGTGCAAATGCAAATGCAACAGACTTGGCTGGAAATACAATCCCAGTATAATAAATAAGCTAAATTGATTTTGTTGATATTTGCTTCTTAGAAATTAATGTACCACAAATGTTATGAATAAACGCAAAGGATGACAATAAGATGCTAGATTAATATAACATGATCATCTGTAGCAACATTCAATTGCTCAGTGCTAATAATCATTAAATCATTCAGTTTCTGAAACAAAATGATGTTGGTTCCTGATATTTCAGGAAGTCAATATTTTGCACAACTTCTTGAGTGAAAATCTTATTCACACACATTTTTAACTACTGTTCACTTAGATGACTGCTTTTGACAGTTTTAGATTTCTTGGTGTCTTGAGTTGAAATTGAAAATTGAGGATCAGTGCCACTTTTTCATTGTTATAAAAGCAGGCTAATTTCCCTAAGTGATCTTTAGTAATGAGTATGTGACAGACTTGATATCTATTACTCCCCAAGTCTGAAAGAAAATGCAGAAGACCTGTCCTCCAAGTCTATTTCAGATCAAGAAGCTTTATGTATATTTGGGCAGCAACATTTCTTTTAAACATGTTTCATTGAATATGACGGGCAAGAAAAATTTCATTAATTTTTATCTCATTTTTCCGGCATTCTTACATTTTTTTTGTTTGGTGGGAGTAAGGGAATACAAAAATTGTCCATATTATCCATTGTACTAAATGCTTTCAGCTACTTCTTTAGCCATTTTCAAGGGGGATTGTTTTTAGGTGTTGTTAATTTCTTTTCATGTTTAACTGTTTTGAATACTAGTAGCAGTGTTTATTCATGTGTTGGACTGGAATTTAAATGTGTGTCTTTCTATTTTTAAAAAACTTTCAACACACCATTTCTGTTGCTTAATAATGTGAGATTTATACTGGGAGCAAGATGTTTTATATACAGGGCCTTTTCTCACAGCAAGAAGTTTTTGGTAATGTGATTTATATAAAATGTTAGTGTTTTCAACCAGAATTAAGTATTAAGTATGGGAAGCCTTTGGTATAAACCAATGGCATCTGTTATCAAAGTATATTTGTGGAGATTTCATAGTTTATTTTGTTTAGGTTAGGTTTCAACTGTTTTATGCATATAGCTTCAAGAAATTTTAGTTTTTGTTTATTAAAAATTCTTGAAGCTATATACATAAAACAGTTGAAACCTAACCTAAACAAAATAAACAATGTAATCTCCACAAATATCCTTAAATGTCTATAATTGGTAACAGAAGCCATTGGTTTATACCAACGGCTTCCCATACTTAATACTTCTCGAATTCACTCTTGCGTGGTCATGTGTGACATCATGAGCTGCGGTGCGATTTTCGCTTCCAGTGTCTTATATGCACGTGTTTATCGTTGCTTGGAAATCATCCATGTAAACAGAAACAGACTATCATCACATTCTTGTCCGTGTATTGCTTAATATATTGTAATGTAATTGTCATCTTTGATAATGGCTTATGTAAGCCGAAAGCTTAAATTGGATTAAAAAATATGTATCAATATTGGGATTTTCTTTCTTTGTTTAAAGATAATGTCATTA